GATACTTTGACTTAATTGTGGTAAGTCGACAACAGCTTGACTCTGTTGATAATTTAGCATCAATAATAACTTAGTTAAGTTGATGTTTATTAATTTAAATTTTTTGATTTAGAATAAGAGTAAGATGTTTGAATTTTTGTGTTATTAAATAATTAATTATTTGATATACTTTTTTTTTTTTGAACAGCAATTATTTGATATACTTAAAAATTTGTTAATTTAAAATTTTAATTTATGATCAAAATTAATAGTTTAAATCTTTAACAAGAAATTAACTAAATTGGTAATTCAATCTAATATCAAGTAGTTAATTTTTCATTGTGTGTGTATATATATATATATATAAATTCTGATCTTCCATAATTGAATTTGCTGCATTTTTTTTGCCACCAGTCTTGTTAATATTTGTTATATGCATGATCTTAATTGGAAAACGAAACTTCGATTCAAATATATACAAACTCAAAAACATATATAAATTATTATGAACTCATGCATTCTTGGGTTCATAGCGTAAAATGGTCAATGATCACTACTGTTTTTTCTATCTTAAAATAAATTGAATCAGTAAAATTTTAGTTAAATTAATATCTATTAATATAAAATTCTTGATTTAAGAAATGATAAAGTACTATTAGAATCTCACATTAAAGATAAATCAGAAATAATTGTGGGTTATAAAAAGAGTTTTTCATTTAAGCTTTTAAAAAAATAAAACTGAATCTTATACATTAAAATAGATAATATCTTATAACGTAATAATACAATTATTAATCTTTTTTTTTTTTGATATGTTATTAATCTTAACATATAGCAAAAATATATAACTTCCACTCACTTTAGAATTTAAAATCGAGGCCTAAACGTAGAAATTCAAAGCTTTTAACTACAAAAATATCCTTGAAAAGCCTGAGAAAAATCATATATACAAGTAGATCAAAGAAATTTTATTTTATTTTTTTAACAGCAAGTAGTTGAAGGAATTGAATGGAAATGTAGCTTATTGTTTGGGAATTAAATTTGGAAGTAACTGGGCAACCGTAGAGCATTCAATGACTTTAGCAAGTTGCATCAACTTGAAATATATTGCTAAACGTATCTCATAAATAATTTACCTACAACACGAGTGGTTGTGATATACTAATAATATAGTTACTTGCATGAGTGTCAAATTCTCTATATCATCTTATTATAACCATTATTTTGTGTACCATTTTTATAACTTATTATTTTTTCTACTTTATTATTGTGTCTCGTATAATTTTCTCATTTAGCAACTGTGATAATTGATCCAGCTGTACTGATTAAGAAATGTCCTAATTGCTAATTAGGTACTTCACCCGGCCTACAACCTAGATTTTCAGAAGCAGTGTGCGACCTCCACATGTCAACGCATTCAAAAACCATGGGGACTTGTATATATTTATATTAGCAATAGGTGTATATCAAATAATAGCTGTGGTTGGATAGGCAGGTTATTATAGTTTAATTTTTTACAATGTTATTCTCTTTTTTGTTTTTTAAATGGTTTATAATTTGGGTGGAAATTTTGAATTCCATTCTTAAAAGTGAAAGGATGCACTTTAGGAGAAGCATTGAGTTATTGGGTCATAAGATTTAAGTATATTATCTTTTCTTCTTTTGTTAATTTTTAATATTTAAAAATAAAATAAAATAATAATAATAATTTAATAGACTAAATTAATATTAATTAATTAATTTTATGTAATAAAATAACTCTTAAACCCCTAGAGTGTTATAAAATCTAATAAACTATTAATTTAATTGACTCTTATTATTTTAAAATATTAATATATAAAAGCTTTTTTATTTAAAATTATATA